CCAGCCAGTTATTTTTTGCTTGCGTTCCCCAAACCGAAGGGAGAAAAAAACCAAAGGGGTTTAAAATTTTTACAATCTCACCTGATTGAGACTCTGGTTCGAGAACATGTTAACACGAGGGAGATTCAGTAACCCTCTATTATTCTGAAAATCGAAATCTGTTACTTCACCGTTCATCTTCAACCTTGCATTAACTTTACCAATTTGGCTTTAATTTGGATAAGGTATACTTGCCTCTGAAATTGGCGTCTCTCAATAAGAATAGTGAACCCTTCTTTCTTGCTCCGGCGATGGCGACGGTGACTTCTAGAGCTCGAAGCCGATGACGTCCCAGATCTAGTGAACCCTCTGCTTCGCCATTGGCATTGCTGCAAAGCACCGAAAACCCTTTCAGATTTCCTCCTCTTCTTCAAAATCGAAATCTAAGATTACAATGAAATAATAATTCAAAATCGAAATCTAAGATTACATGACGTTTTTCTCGTAGTGATTAGGGCTAGCAAATTTAGATGAAAGGGGGAAGGCGGCAGATGAAACGACGAAGGCGGGAAGTAAAGGGGGGAAATGAAAAAATAGAAAATATAAAAAAAATAAAAGATAATTATTGTTAAATATAGCAAAATTTAAAATGTCAAATTATCATCCTAATAATACACTATGAATTAAATAATATATTAGTTAATATATTGATTGGTATTTGGCACTATCTGATTGTCAATTTATACTTACCTTTTTAAGATAAAATCAACTCTTACAAAAAAAAGGATAAAATCAACTCTATATTATCATATTTGATTATTCAAAAATTGTCAATACAAATATAAAAATTCAAAATTTGAATTTGAATTTAAATATAAAAAATTAATTCGATCTACAATTAAAGTAGAGATAGTAAATATAATTTAAAATTAAATTTCATTTGATTAAATTGGAGATGAAGTTGTTAGTTTTTAAAATATTTAATTTCTAATTTTATCTTTTATTGGATACATATTTTTTCTAAATATGATATTCAACTTAGGTCCATTAAACACTATGTCCAATAACTAAGGAGAAAGTTCTAATCGTCAAGTCATTATTGACTCAAAATAGGAAGATTTTGGATCTGAGGGTAAAAGGGATTTGATGGCGAAGATGCAAAAAGAAATAAAAGATATATATATATATATATATATATATATATATATTTGGTTTTGATGTAGTGTTTGATATTGTGATAAGATTAGAGAAAATCTCAAAAAGAATTGGGAATTTGCTAAATGGAGCTTAAATTTTTTGGGAAAAAGAGCGCAATTGATTGTGAAAAGTTAGAGAGGAGGGAAAAAATGAAAAAAAGAGAGGAAAATATAGTTTTGGAAAATAGGAAAATGTAAACAATTTTGATGAAATATAACGAATATTTCATAAAAAAAGGGGGAAAAAATAAAAAAAATTTCCAAAAATTTCTTATTAAAACCGGTTCGGCCATTGACCCGGTCGAGGTACTGGGTCACTGGTTCAACCAGTAAGTCACTAGTTCAACCGCATTACCCGGTAATTATATGCAATTTTATAATTTATATTGAAAAATTATAAACATACTCAAATATCTAAAAAAATTATAAATATTTCAAATATTTTAATATAAAAAATAATAAATCACATACTATTATCCAATAAAGGATCATATAAAAATATAATGATCGTGATACGAGGCTTTAGATTCAGAAAATGACATCTCTAACTATATGACCGTTACTTCAACCAGACCGGTTACCGATTCCCGGGTTGACCCAGCCGGATCGGTCCGTTTTTATTAACTATGATCTTATCCCATAAAGATTTCCACTCTAGCTATCTCTTTCACAACTTCGTATCTTAGAGAAAGTGTTCGTCAAGTTGTGGGAGTGATTTTGTTAGAACAGTTTGATCAAAAAGTTAAATATCGAAGTAGATTATTGATAATGAGAGCAAGAGGGCGAAGAATGTTCCTTTATTTGCATTTCTCACTCTTCCTTCATTGTATGATTAATTTAAAAAAAAGAAAAAGAATATAAGTAATATTATCATGTGTCACTTTTTAGAGAAAAATAAATTAAGAATTTTAATCATTCTCAAGATAAAGTATTCTAATTTAATATTTAAAAACTTAACAATCTCAAAAAAGTTATATGACATGAGGTAATAGTGGACATAGTTACGATAGTGAGTAATGCCTTTTTTCATAGCTCGACAAATAATTTGATAAGCCAATGATTCTTTTTTCGTGTTTTAGAATACGGTTCGGATATTGATCGAATTCATCTAATTCTTTTTTATTTGTCATTTAGTTTAGTTTAAATTTTGATTTATAATATTTTCGTTTTTAAAGGAGACTTGACCTATTATATAGAGCAAAATAGAACTGACTCAAGTTTTGAAAAAAGCCATTTTAGAAAACACTTTTAATCACATTTTCTCTCCACATAAATCATGTAATGTTACTTTTTTTAACGTAAACATCCAATCTAGATAATCCAACAAAAAGTTCATGTTTTATAATTTTATAAACAATAATATTTAAATACAAAATTAAGTTCGTAAATCTATTCCAAATAGGGACGGATTATTTTTTGTCCCTAATAGGGAAGGATTATTTTCCGTCCCTATTAGAGACAGATTTAGGGACGAATTTTATAAACCATATCCTAATTTTATCCCAAGTTGGGACGAACAATATTCTGTCCATATTAGGGACGAATTACGAAAATTGAACATACTTCGTCCCTAAGTTTGTCCCAAATAGGGACGGAATATTTTTCCATCTCAAAATCTGTCCCTACTAGAGACAGAATTTATTTTGTTGCTAATTCCGTCCCAAATAGGGACAAATTGTTTTTTTGTCTCTAAATCCGTTCTAATTAGAGACAGAATATTTTTCGTATCTAAAATCCGTCTCTAATTCATACTTTTTTTAGTAGTGCCAGTGGCCAATTTTCTCTCAAATCGCCAGCCATTTCTCTCCTCGGCTTGTTTATATTTTTACGACAACTATTATTGAGTTGTAGTTCAATCTGTTGCCTCATCAATGACTATCTATTCATCTTTTAAAAATTAATATCTCATCCTTCACTCCTTTAACAAATTCAAATACTTTAATTAATAAGTAAAAAATGTAGGAAACTTTTTAATGGATAAAAAATTAATAGTTTGATGTGTAAAATTACAATGATTAAATCTCAAATGAGTAAAAATATATAATTTTATGAATTAGCAAACCAAATAGGCCGCATGCAATGATAACCTTAATAATTTTAAAATGATATTTATGCAAATTTTAATAAGAGGAATTTAATTATTTATTATATTTTTTGAGTTTATAAGTCTAACCAATCTTTATAATTTAGAAAGAATGCACGCACGACTCAGGTCAAGTCAATCAATTTTTTTTTCAATTTCGCTAACCTAAGATTTTATTTGGTTATTATAACTTGAGTTATTTTTTATTTTTTTTGGAAATTTATAACTTGAGTTATTTTGACACCATACATTTGTTTTCTTAGCACTCACGGTGGATGACGTGAATTGTTGACGGTGTTGTCCACGCAGTGATTGAGACTTTTAGAAGTTCAATCACTAGAAATAGAGTAACTTAATATTTCTTAACAAATTAACAAAAAAAATTTCTTCCTATTAAAGTTTTACTTCATCCGTTTTTTTTTTAAATTGTCAACTTTAAAATTAACTTTTTATATTTTAAAGAATAATAAAATTTTAATTATTTACTATTTTAGAAGGGATTTTAGATAGAGTATATAACTTCTATTCATTTAAATCTTGATCCTTATATATGTCGCGACTAAAATTCGGGTCGGTGATCGATATATATACAAGGGATTATCAAGTATCATGTTATAGGATTTTTAGCTTCCTTCGAGCTGACCCTTCGATTAGTGTGAAGTTGTTGTTTCAGTTTTTATTTTATTAAAAAAACAATTGATCTTATAATTGATGTGTCTGTGACATGATGGACCGAGTTTACTGTTATAGGACACTAGTAAATCCCATATATACAATTAGAACTAAAATGAATGAAAACATAAAATTATTATCTTTTTATTTGATTGGGCATTTCGCCGGACATAATTGAGAGATTAATTTTTTCCTAAGCTGGTGTTTGATTGTGAGCTTTTTAGCGGATATCTATATTTCTCAAGTATGACTTTTAGAAATATCATGTTTGTTTCAACGTTTTTCACCAAAAACCCATCTATCCAATTTGTCTGGATTTATGAGAAACATATATATCCGCACTGTTTAGAAACCCAATTTGAAGTGGAATTTTTCGGAAAGCCGATTATCTGGCTTTTAATGCACTGTTGATTTCATAAAGTTATCTAATTTTCCCAGTAAAGTTTTTTCCCACCAAACAACTTTTTTTTACATTTTTCTATCTATCTTACTTTATCTATCTTTCCAATCATTTCTCTATCTATCTCATTTTCCTGCTATTTCAAAAAAAATTCCTGAACCAAACGTCCCTAAAGAGAATGTCAAATCATCACTGTTAGGTAAAGGACAAAAGTATTTAATATATTAAAAAAATTAAATATATAAAAACTTTAAACTTTTAGAAAAAGTTAAAAGTCACTTGAACCAAATACCATTGTCATAAGTGATAAAAAAGTTGTGTTCCCGTAATAAGAGTTCGAGCCCAGGAATGAAAAAATGGTCTTTAAATAATTGCTCTTTATATAGGATTCGACTGTATTCATACTAGACTAGTCCGAATAATTAATCAATAGAGGAGATTTTTAAAAAAAAAAAGCACCTTAGAAGTTCGAAGAAATTTCTATTTTGTGCCGGGTCCAACTAAGAGTTGAAGTCAAAGAAGATATACTAATCTTCACCTTTGTGGGTTAGAATATTATTCGCGTCGGCCAATACAACAAATAGATTGGTCTTTAATCGAAACCATATATATACTTGTGTGTTTTGGGACAGATTTTTATCGAATCAAACACAACCAAGCATAGCCACAGATGGAAGACAACCTTATCTACATCCTTTCCTTCCTCCTTTTTCTTATCACTTTAAAGCTATTATTCTTCAGAAAAAGATACAAAAATCTACCACCGAGCCCACCTTCTCTTCCGATAATCGGAAACCTCCATCAGCTGAAACCACCACTTCACCGTACCTTCCAAGGTCTCTCACAGAAATATGGCCCAATTTTCTCCCTCAGATTCGGGTCTCAACTCGTGGTGGTCGTTTCATCTGCATCCGCTGCCGAAGAATGTTTCACCAAAAACGACATCATTTTCGCGAACCGTTTTCACTCTCTCAAGTCCAAGTATCTTGCCTTTAACCACACCACTCTAATTACATCATCATATGGCGACCACTGGCGCAACTTACGTCGTATCAGCTCACTCGAGATCCTCTCCACTCACCGTCTCAACTCCTTTTTGAGAATCCGAAAGGACGAGACCGCGAGGTTGCTTCGAAGACTGTCTGAGGGCTCTTATAAAGATTTCACAAAAGTGGAGCTCAAGTCCAAGTTTTCGGAGCTAACATTTAACATTATCATGAGAATGGTCTGTGGTAAACGCTATTACGGCGAGGAATATGATGGGACTAACGCCGAGGAAGCTAAGAAGTTTAGAGACGTTATGAATGAGATGGCAGCGTTCGGTTTGGGATCGAACCTCGGGGATTTTGTGCCTGTTTTCAGGTTGTTCGATTTTAATGGTGACCGTAAGAATATAAAAAGGGTTGGGGATAAGGTGGACGCGCTTTTCCAAGGACTCATCGATGAGCATCGGAATAAGAAGGAGTGTTCAAATACCATGATAGAACATCTACTTTCCTCACAAGAAGCACAGCCTGAGTATTACACTGATCAAATTATCAAAGGACTTGTTATGGTGAGTCATTACTTTATAAAATAATAAAAAAAAGTGTAAATATAACAATTATATAATTACAAATTCTTTATTGTTTTTCAGGTGTTGATAGTGGCTGGAACAGAAACTTCCGCATCGACATTAGAGTGGGCGATGTCAAATCTGTTAAACCATCCAGAGGTGTTGGAGAAAGCAAGGATTGAATTGGACAATCAAGTTGGACAAGATCGTTTGATGGAGGAATCGGATGTTACCAAATTACCGTACCTTCAGAATATAATCTCCGAGACTCTGCGATTGTATCCTGTGGCGCCACTCCTGGTACCTCATTTCTCCTCCGATGACTGCACAGTGGGAGGTTATGATGTGCCACGTAAGACGATGCTAATGGTAAATGCGTGGGCCATCCATAGGGACCCACAGCAGTGGGATGACCCAACAAGTTTTAAGCCCGAGAGGTTTGAGAACGGTCAAGCGGACGCGCATAGCCTCTTCTCTTTTGGAATGGGGAGGAGGGCATGTCCTGGGTCAGGGTTGGCCCATAGGACTCTAGGCTTGACTATAGGCTCGCTGATTCAATGCTTTGAGTGGAAAAGGATTGGAAAGGAAGAAATTGACATGACCGAAAGAGCCGGAACTGTGATGCCTAAGGCCATTCCATTGGAGGCCCAATGCAAAGCGCGTCCAATCATCAGCAAGATTTTCTCGGAACTATAGAAGACGCTCAAATGGGTTTTTTTTGACCCTTTTGCCCCTTATTAATTAATTAATAACCAATTTGCCCCTGATCAAGAACTATCCACCAACCTGCCCCCGTTTAGTCGACTACCTTGCTGTTTTAGTCGAGCAAATGGTCAATCTTCAGAAAGTGGACTACCGCAAATTTAGTCGATTAACAAATCATCTTAATCGACTACATTTTTGGGATATTTAGTCGACTAAATGTCGACTGAAACCCAATATTTTCCATGTTTTCGGTCTCATTTCGATTGTTGTTGTTGTGTAAACCTAAATAGCTCCCTTTGTTCATGTGTAATCCTCTCAATCCGATTGTATTTCATCCCACCATCTCTACAGACCTAATATTGTGAAATCATTGTCATTGCCCAATTCCAAACCCCAAAATCCGAACCCAAACCCCCAATTTCAGAACCCAAGTCCCAATTTCGTGAGGAAGATGAGCACAAGTCCAAACATGTATGTGACAATGATCTACTATGATGGAAAGCATTATGAAGGCCCCAATGGTGTTCAATTTGAAGGAAAAACGAAAATGTTGAAAATCAAACGGGGCACTACATACAATGAGTTAAAGGAGAGAATTCAGCAAAAATTGGGTTTGCAAGGCAGCCAATGCGTTCAACGGATGATTGCCAGGGTAGAGACAACAGTTGGTAAGGATGCTATTTACTACATTGGTAACGATATATGTGATGATGAAGATGTCGAATGTGTCATAGATGCAATTGTTGACCGAAAATTTCAAAATTTTATTGAGATATATGTTGAATTAGATTGTGGTCAATCTTCATCTGCACCCATGCATACAAGAAGTGAACCGTATTTTGGTCATGAAGAAAGAGTAGTCGATTTATCTGCACCTGCACATGTCATAAGTCAGATAACACTGCGGGAAATAGATGAGGATGAACAGGATGCCGATATGGACAGCGATGAGGACGGTGAACCTGAGAGTGTTATTCCACTAGGTGACACGTCAGATACTGACGTAGAGGGTGATTTCGACGCTGACACAAGCTCACCATCCCCGGGTTCGCAGGTTACGAGACCACTTCGTGTTGACCCTGTTAGCAGTGGTAAGATTTGTTTTTTAAAGATTTAATTTAGCAATTATTTTTTTTGTTATGAATGGTATTGACGGTGGCATTATAATGCATCCGTAGGTTCTGAGGTCGAGCCATTTTGGAATGAAAGCTCACATTATACCTTCATTAATTGGGCCCACCCTAATGATGAGACGGAGATATTGTATGGTGACGATGATGATCACGGTGGCTGGCAATTAGGGGATCCTTTATATTTGTATCAGGAGTTTCGTAGCAAATCTGAAATGCAACATGCAGTCAAATTATATTGTATGAAGGCTCACCGTACTGCCGTTGTGGCAAAAAGTGATGACCGTAGATTTGTGATGAAGTGTCGACACCATAATGATGGATGTCCCTGGTATGTGAGGGCATTGTTGCCGAAGAATGGAAATACTTGGGTGGTTAGTAAATGGGTTAAAGAACACACCTGCCTAAACCAAGGTCTTACCCGGGATCATAGACAGTTGGATTCTGATGTGATATGTGCAACCATTATCAATATGTATTATTCGATATATCTAACTTCCTAAGGTATGTTAACGTTAATCAGTTTGTATTCTGACTGTTGGCCGGTGTTTTTTTTTATATAGGTATGTTAAAAGAAGATCCATCATTGAAGCCAGTTCTTATTCAAGAGAGGGTACAACGTTTGTATGGATACAACATATCTTACAGGAAAGCTTGGAAGGCTAAAATGAAAGCCATTGTCAAGTTATTTGGCGACTGGGATAAATTGTATGCATTCTTGCCTGGTTGGCTGACATACATGACGCAGGCTAATGTGGGTTCTGTGTTCAAGATTGATACAGACCAATGTGTTGATGAACGTCGAGTGTATACGGATAAGGCTGTCTTTCACCGAGTATTTTGGACCTTTCACCAGTGCATTGAGGCCTTCAAATATTGTAAACCCATAATCCAAATTGATGGCACGCATTTGTACGGTAAATACAAAGGAACTCTTTTGATTGCAACTTCACAAGATGGAGATGGTTACATTCTCCCTATTGCATTTGCTATTGTTCCTCCTGGTGAGAGATTGGATGATTGGTCGTGGTTTCTTAGCCTCATGCGTTTTCACGTCACGCATAAGCATGGCATTTGTCTAATATCCGATCGTCATCCCAGCATCATCAGGGCTGTAAGAGATCATGCCGGTTGGCAGCCACCATTTGCGTATCATGTGTTTTGTCTACGCCACATCGGAAGCAACTTTAACACTAAGTTCAGAGATGTGGAATTAAAGAAAACCCTGATGAAGCTAGGTACAATCTTCTTTTTAATATGTACAAATTGTATATAATTCATCCTTTTGTATCTAACGCATCATTTTGTATTTCAGGGTACTTGAGTTCAAAGATTCATTTTGATATCAGATTCCAGGATTTTATCGACAGTAACCCTCAGCCACATCCTCCTCCTCCTCCTCCTCCTCCTCCTCCACATCTGGCTCAACAATATGGTCATCTGGGGCAACATAAGGAACCTCAACCTGGGGCATACCACTAAACTCCCACACACCCGATCTCGTGTTCTTAGTAATCTTGCACTGCTCCAATAGACGCTTTCCGAACTTGCAATTATAGCCCGTGGTCTTCTTCAACAGCTCAGTCTCCATGGGAACACCAAAGTGAACCAATATCCTCTGTACCAGACAGGCGTATGGAAGATGACCCTTATGTTTGGCCTTAAACATAAACCAACAGATATAGTGCCTCCAGTTCACCATCTGGGCATGTCGGATAGCCCACATAATGGGAATGTCATGTTCCAACACCCTGGAATGATTAAAAGATCGCGGAAACAGAACGTGGGTGAGGACATAGTGTAGTATACGGGACTCCACAGAAAGCAACCCCACCGTATAGTGCAAGTGTTCCCCACGGACTCTTCTCTGCTCCTGCACGGCATCCTCTCGTACATATCCTGGAAGTACTACACCACTATCAGCGTCATACACCACAGTCTGACAAGAGTCAAAATCATAGCCGAGTATCTCCAACCATGCAGGTGCCGTCAAGATGATCTCTATTCCACAGACCCTTGACCTCAGCTCGCCCTGTACGTAGCTGAGGTTATGGTAGAAGGCCCGCACCATAAGCTCTGAATACGGACATAGGGTCTCGGCCAACACCCTCAGATGTGCCGCCTCCAACACCCCCACAATTTCAAATCCCTCCTTATCAAAAAAAGCTGTATCCAAAGATTTTGGAGCACATAACGGCCGGTTCAAATGGTCACGTACGAATGAAGCGTGGACGGCAGGGTCGTCCTCAAACAGATACCCATACGGGAGGTCAACAGTATCAGGCTCTTCGTCTTGTCGCCTTGACGAAGAAGGCCGCTCTTGCCTATGCTTGGTGCGTCTCTCAAGTGACTCATTGCCCTCATCGCTTGGTCTTCTGCGGCTCGTCATTTGTTTAGGGTACCTACAATGAAACATGTCAGCATTTAACTATATGAAACATGTCATGATGGTAATGAAAACTTGCAACATAAGCGCTGTAAACCAAAAGCAAACTTTTGCCCCATACAAACTTTTCAAACAAAAAAATTCACACAATGCAAAAAAATAAACCTTAGTAGATTACGGTTACAAAACCTACAACAAACGCTTTGATTAGAGTTCACAAATTCGGACAACAAACAAATACAAAAAATTCCTAAACCTAAAACACAATGCAAGTTAAGAAACCTTACCTATCCTTCAGATTTCACGATTTGGACCAAATTTGGGGGCAATCCACACGCCTAAAGGAAGGGTTTGGGGCGTTCTTCAGCTGCTCCTGCGGATTTGGGGTTTGGACCGCCTCCTTAGTCGATTAGGTCATCATACTCCCCCTCTGCCGAATGGGGGGTTTTAAAAAACAAATCCGTCGATATTTAGTCGACTAAATATCGATACTTAGTCGACTAAATATCCCAAAAATGTAGTCGATTAAGATGATTTTTTAGTCGACTAAATTTGCGGTAGTCCACTTTCTGAAGATTGACCATTTGCTCGACTAAAACAGCAAGGTAGTCGACTAAACGGGGGCAGGTTGGTGGATAGTTCTTGATCAGGGGCAAATTGGTTATTAATTAATTAATGAGGGGCAAAAGGGTCAAAAAGCCCGCTCAAATGACTAAGGCTTACTATTTTTATTTATTAGTATTTTCAAATATTTATGAAGTTGACTAAAGTGTAGACGAAGGCGGTAGTTTGTAAAGCCTCTCGTAGTGTCCATGCAATTTAGGCCATGTTTGGTGCATAGTATAAGATAAGGTCTGAAAGAATAAAATTTGATGGTATAAGGCCTGATTGTGTAAGACCTAATTAAATTTTAATACTATCCAGCGTTTGGTATGGTATTGTATAAAATAATATATTGTATAAGATAATATCATCTAGTATTTAGTAATGCACTATATAACACTATATAAGATAAAAATAAATATTTTTTAATAAAAATATTTTTAATAAAGAATTTATATAATCCTTCAAAAAATTTCATATGATATTAATTTTTACGAAATCGATTGATCGGTGTGTCCAAAAATAAATTAATTTTTATAAAAGTAAAAATATTCAATATTCAATATTTTAAAATTTAATATATTGACAAATTAATTTTTATTTTAATATATTAATTTTTGAGAATTGCACTGGTCAATGATTTTAATACACTACCCCTTATTATGCCTAATCTCTTCCTCTTAAGCCGGATTAAGTTATACATCGTTTTGATGTATTAAGTGATTCTGCTGTATAAACTTATACTATACGATGATCACACCAAATAACTGAAAATATCATAATGTATAGTATAAGCTTATACTATCATACCTTATACATTACATCAAACATGCCTTTAATGTTTGTTTTTAAGGTAGTTGGTGTAGACTTTTTTTATATGTAAGTTGCATGAATTAAATTAATCAATAATAACTCATCATTTAAAAATGCAAACACTAAAAGTTTATGTGATTATTGAATATAAAATAATAACATATCATTTATTGATTAATTTGGTCTGCACAATTTTTGTGGAGAAAGCTTACTCAAGAATTTTTCGGTTTTAGGTAATATGAGAGAATCATGAACTAAAGGTTCGCGCAACTCAATTATCTCAACGCTCAACTATTTAAAAAGTTAAAGAAATAAAATAAAAAATGTAACACATGATTCTTACTTCGAGGGACCACTTCAGAGTGCATATTGATATTGGCAAGGCCAACTTAAATCAATAATTTAATAATAAAAAAGAGGAAGTGACACTGGATTAGAACATCGTAGAAGGAAGCTGATTTAGGTTTAGGCGTTCAAAATGCAATCATATCACGAGAAATGGTAGCATTGCCAAACTCCTTTCTCTTATTATATTATACAACACAAATTACAAAGCTGCCACCCAGCCTCATCTCCTAAAAACACCAAATAGGCATAGAGAGTAAGAAAAATCCAGCACAGGGCAACCGATTTTCTCCTGGCAGATCTAAGAACTCTCGCTCCTATTCGGCTTCGACGAGACGAAGACCTGTTGCAACATAAAAGAACAAAATGGTATTTAACATAAAACAACAATCGCATCTCTCGCTATACCCCAACACACGAGCACATAGAGAGAAACTCACCTGATGTTCATCAAAGTTGGGAACCCAATCGTTCGTGGCCGGGTTGCTTTTATAGCCTGTGAGATGGGTTTCACCCGCATCAACATGGCTTACAGGCAACTGAATCTCATTTCCACCTTCACCTTCTCCTTCTATCACCGCCTTTATGAACCCACTCCCTGTCTGTTCAATAACCAAAATAAATAAATTGCAAAGAATATTAAAAAAGAAAGAAAGAAAAAAAAAACTAATATATAAGGCGATTAAGAAACAGATTCATCACGAACCGCGTGATGCTGTTTGTCAATAGATGCCAACTCTTTGTAGTACTGAGTCTCCACAAACTCATCCTGCGCATCCACGAACCCCTCCGCGGAAAGTATATCCTGTTAATTTAACGGATATGAGAGAAACCAAAAGCTAAATAACAAGAATTCTTCAGTTAAAAAAAAATAAAAAAAATAAACAAATTGAGTGTGTGTGAGAGAAAGAGAGAGAAAGAAGTTACGGACATGAGAGCGAGATTGAAGGGATTGAAACTTGTGAAGCTCTGGTATATTGTGGACAGAGACGGTGGAGTCAACGGTGTGTTCGTGTTCAGGTTCGCTTCTGTTGGGTTTGATGGGTCGCTTGGGTGCCAAGGCGTCAAATTGAGCTCTGATCTGATTAGCGATCCTGACTTGCTCATCAGCATCCAAAACGTCGTCGCTCCGGCTGGGTTTAGTCACCGTCCATTGCCCCACCATATTGTCTGTTTTGCTTTCCCTTTTCTATTTCTCTCTCTTTCTCTATCAAACACGCCGATGCGCAGTTGGCAGGGTAGTCCTTGTATTAGTTGTACATATATAGAGAGGGGGAAAATATTTTCGGTATGGAAGAGATTATTTACTGTGATTAGGGACCATCATTTTTCAGATGGTAATTTATTGTAAATAGGAAGATAAAATTGGAAAAGAGAAAAAATAATAAGGATAAAAAAGTAAAGAAAAAATTAATGATACGAGAGGAAGCACCAAAAAATTCAGTCATCTTGAACTATATTACATATTTCTGGACTGAGAAATCTACTGACTACTCTGTATCTTTTATCAAATATAAAAAATATATATATTTATGTTATTTTTTTACTTTTAAGAAAAAGTATTTGTCCTTTTAAATGATACAATTTATATCTTTTCATCTTCACAAAGAGGTGAAACTCATACTTTTATTTTTTTTGTTCACTATCTTTCTTTATCTATCTCTTTCTCTCACTTAGAATAACACAACTTTATATCCTTTAAAATAATAAACTCTTCTCTCTTACTTTATGATTATTTGATTATTTTTTATTTTAGTAAGTAATGAATTTTCTACTTGAAATTCTTACTTCACGTGTGGGTTGGAGACAAAGAAAAATAACATAGCAGAAAAATGAAACTATGGGCCTTGAAACCGCGGCTTTTGTACATGGTTCTGCCTAGGGAGAGCGTGGTTAAAATGAGCTTATCATTTACATGAAAGCTATCTTATATATACAAATAGATAAGATATTATACCTTATTATTTTGATGCATATTCTAGAGAAGAGTAAGTAGAATAAGTATGAAAATTAATAGGCATAATATTCTATTCTTATAAAAATATATTAAATTACTAGTTTGTTTTAATTAATTAGTTAATTAAATAGTTGTTTTATTTATATTTATAAATCTCCCTTTAGAAAAATTGACTTTCTTGTATTCCCGGTGGCCGGTGCCTTAGGGAAAGAGCGTGATTAAAATGGAAATCGATCTTCTTATGTGAAAAAAAAAACATGACATAGTCATGTGAGAAGATCACAACCATACAAAGGTAAATCAACGGTTATGATTTTATAACTACCTATTTTAATATATTTTCTCTCTCCTCCTTTATTACCATTGATCTATCTTTGTATGGTTATGATTTCTTACATGATATGGTCATGTGATTTTTCACATTAGAGGATTCATATCCGATTAAAATTGTTGGTCAGTAAGCAAAAAATGGTTTACTAAAATGACCATAGAAGGAATTTGTTGGCTTACCAAACTCATCTAAAAGATAGCTGAAGCAGCAGGCATTAAACCAACTTGCAATAGGTTGATTCTTTTAAATAACTGCAAAAATGATAGTTGGAGACAATAAGTTATGGAATCATATTCAAGATCAATGATAATTAGTCTCTTCCTTAGGCTTTCACGGCGTTTGATAGAGGAGATTATTTTTTATCCGAGAATCGCAATTTTTAGAAATATAATGAAAACATTCAGATTACGATAATATCTAAAATTTAAAAAATTTAATTTCTCAAAAATCCTAAAAAATACAAGCTACCAAACACCCTCTCAAGGGATTCACATATACCCATCACATACTGTACTTGTTTGGATGCTGAGGCAAATGTGTATATATATTACTCTACGCTGTCACCAACAAACCTATACTTCAGGTTGTTTTTTTTTAATATTTACTGAGTATCAGAATATAGATCACTTTATATCCAGAAATGACAAATTGTGATAAATTGGTAAGGCAGAAAATTCTACGAGTTTATGATTTATAACGAAACACTGGGGCCGTTTATTACGTGACTTTTTTAGGATTTTCGGGAAATTGAATTTTTTTTAAATTTTTAATTTTCAGATATTATCGAAAAATGAATATTTTTATCATATTTTTAAAAATTAAGATTTTCAGATAAATAAAAATTTCTTCTTTACCAAACGCTCCCTAGGAAAAAATGTTTATCTTTTTAATTGACACAACTTATATTCTTTCACTCTCACAAATAGGTGGGACCTACACCTTTATATTTTTTTTGTCAACTCTCTTTTCTCGTTTATCTATCTCTTTCTCTCACTTAAAATGACACAACTTTACATCCTTTAAAATGATACACATTTTTTTCCTATCTTAAATTATGCATATAATTAATTGTTAATTGGGGGGTGAAATAAACTCCATTGCAATGTAGACCAAATCATGTCAAGTACTTATTCATAAGGTTAATATGATAATTTTGATCTTGTTAGGTTTGTCCGCGTTTTTTTACCAAAGAAACTATATGATTTTTAAGCAGTCAGGGATAAGTCTTTACATATATTTTTTACGAGCTTTATTGATCTCATGCAATAAGTGAGAAGTCCTCTCATGCTATAAAAATAATTATATGTGAGATCCAGTCACTTATAAAAAAAAAGATAAAAATGTAACACAAAAATCGATATATGTATAAAAAAGAAAAACATTCTTCTATAACATAAGAATATTTTTTTATATTGGGATATATGTTTCAGACTTTCTGTCTATGATATCTTATCAAATTGATTGGGACAGAAACAGACGATACAATTGTTTAATTTTAGTAGATTGATACGATTAAAATATAATAAATAACAAAAGTCAGCAGCTTTAAAATAATCATTTCAAAATATGATTAGGTTCATAATTGGTTTATCATACTTTATTGTCCATTTTTTTTGGACCAAAAAATATTACTCCTAAAAATAAAATTTATATCCTATAACAATTTAGGGAAAAGTAAATCTTACGTTGTAGGAGAATTCTAATCTCATTTTATAGTTACGTTAAATGTGTGACTCACCTATTTAAAAAAAAAACAAAAAATAAAAAAATGAGTGACACACATTTTTATGCAACATGAGAAAAACAAACCCCAACAATTTATGGTAGAAACATACTTTATCTATGAAATTGAATGTTTCATTTATTCTTTAAAATTTCAATTAAAAGAATAAAATAAACTCAAAAGTTGTAGAACAATATAATTTTTTTTTTTTAAAATAACTTTCTTAAAATCTTCAAACAAAATGAAAAGTTTGTGAATGAACTTCTTACGATAAATTTTTAAATAATTTTGTTGTATAAAAAAATTGGGAAATCATTTTCTCATTTAATAGAAAATAACTTTATCATGAGATATCGAAATATGTATTTATTTTTTTTAAGATCCGCCACTTATTGTGCCAATAACATAAGAGAAGTTATCTTGCGTGAAATGAGAAAAGATGTGAAATAATTTCTTGAATATATTGAGTAAAAGTGAAAAGTGTGTACAATACAAGCCAAGTGTGGCTTTTATACAGAAACCTAAGAAAGGAAAGTAAGCTGACTCAGCTAACTAAGCTAACTAAAAATAGTTACAACTGATTAACTTACTCACTAACAAACTAACAGATCGAAGCTAATGCACACGTGCATAAGTTAGTTGAACTAACTGTACAATGAGCTAATGAACAGAAAACTAAAGCTAACTGAGTCCTGATGCTTTGCTTCATGATGGGCTTGAACTTGGACTTGATTCATGATGGACTGGATCCACAATATGGGAAATGGATGTTGTCACCCCCCCGCAAGCTGGACTATGGAGGTCAGAAAAACCCAAACGAGAGACAAGATGATTAAAGGGAGAAGGATGGAGTGCCTTTGTGAAAATGTCAGCAAGTTGCATGGAGGAGGAAACAGGGAGTAGATGTAATAGGCCAGCTTGAATCTTCTCGCGTGTGATGTGACAATCAAGCTCAATATGCTTGGATCGTTCATGGAAGGTGGGATTATGTGCCAAGTTTTCGAGTTAACCTGATTTCTGTTGCAAAGCTTACGAAGAATGTACCATGTTATCTCATTTTTCGTAATTCTTCTTGTGTCATAAAACAGATCCAAACCAGAGCGACGATTGGTTCAGCTGAAGCAATGGATGGACTATATGTGATAAAGACCTCTTCCCCACAACCTTTCATCCAAAATAAACCCAATAAAGAACCTGCAGAATGGACTCTCAGCACCTGCAGATCTGAAGTTTTTAGTTGCAATAAGCCTGTTCCTAGTTCTATTGATGTTTCCTTATTATGGCATCTTAGACTAGGCCATATTTCTTCCAATTTATTGAAAGAAATGTCAGTGCAATTCCCTTTCATTCCAAATATACACGTCTCTCCTTGTGATGCCTGTCAGTATGCAAAACAAAGACGTTTATCATTTCCCATAAGCAATAGCAATACAAAGCAGTTTTTTGACTTATTGCATGTAGATATATGGGGTCCCTATATGGTACCGTCTGTGCATGGCCATAAGTATTTTTTAACACTGGTGGATGACTACACCCGATATACATGGGTAATCCCTATGAAAACCAAGAGTGAAACTCGTAATTGCCTTCGAAACTTCATCATTCTCATGGAGAATCAATTCAACTCTTCCCTTAAGGTCATTAGGAGTGATAATGGACCTGAGTTTTACCTGGCAGATTTCTACCAATCTAAGGGTATATTACATCAAAGGAGTTGTGTAGAGACTCCTCAGCAGAATGGTATTGTTGAAAGGAAGCATCAACATTTACTTAACATAGCAAGAGCCCTAATGTTTCAAAGCAAAGTTCCCCTTACATATTGGTCATATGCAGTCCTGCATGCTGCTTACTTAATCAACTTGTTGCCCACACCACTTTTACAGAACAAGAGTCCATTTACAATGCTTTATCACCAACCAGCCATACTCAGTAATCTCAAAGTGTTTGGTTGTTTATGTTTTGCATCAACCTATACTTCTCATCGAACAAAATTTTCCCCACGGACTCGAAAGGCTGTTTTTCTTGGTTATACAGCAGGGGTAAAAGGCTATGTTCTACTTGATTTCATGTCACGATCACTCACTGTTTCTAGAAATGTGGTTTTCTTTGAACACCACTTCCCATTTCTCAATACTGTGGATCCAGTTCATTTTGTTCCTTCCAATGCTGCAAGCCAACCTATTCTCACGGGTTCACCACCAGACTCATATGATACCTACCCTACTGATATACCTATTGCACCCATACTGCCCCATCCTGACCCTTTACCTATATTACCTACTACACTAGAGCCAGCCCATAATACACAAACCGTACCTCATAGACACTCTAGCTGCACCAGAGGACCTCCATCCTATTTGAGGGATTATCACTGTAGTTTATCTGTTGCATCAGACTCATACAATCAATCGCGTTCAGGTACTTCTCTGACTAGTCCTTCTATCCATTTCCCATTATCGGATGTTGTTTCCTATGATAGATGTTCTCTTGATTACAAGCATTTCTGTCTTAATATCACTTCTCAATGTGAGCCAAAGACTTATAGTCAGGCTTCCAAGTTAGATTGCTGGAAGGATGCCATGCAAAAGGAAGTCGCTGCTCTTGAGCAAAACAAAACGTGGGTTCTTGTTGATCTCCCCCAAGGAAAGCGAAGCATTAGCTGTAAATGGGTTTACAAGACAAAGTTCCACTCAGATGGCACCATTGAACGACATAAGGCTCGTTTGGTGGCCAAAGGGTATACTCAAATGGAGGGCATTGATTATTTCGATACCTTCAGCCCGGTTGCGAAGATGACAACTGTACGCATGCTGCTTGCTTTAGCTGCTAGCAAGAACTGGTTCTTGGAACAATTGGACGTAAACAATGCGTTCCTCCATGGCGACTTGCATGAGGAAGTCTACATGGATGTGCCTCCTGGTCTTCATGTCTCTGGTCCTACCAAAGTTTGTAAGCTTCAGAAGTCGATTTATGGCTTGAAGCAGGCGAGTAGGCAGTGGTATGCTCGTTTATCCACTGCACTTCTTTCTCTGGGATACACTCAGTCTTCGGCAGATCACAGTCTCTTTGTCCGTTCTGAGAATTCCAGTTTTACTGCTCTGCTCATTTACGTTGACGATATAGTTCTTGCTGGAGATAACTTGGCTGAAATTCGTCGTGTTAAGAGGTTCCTTGATGATGAGTTGGCACATAAAGAACATTGACTAAATTCAAATGAGAAGAAATGTGTACTGTTCCAGAGAATAAGGCTAAATTTCGTGAACCATCAGGGATGGAAATGGAGATTGGATCAATCCTTTGGAGATTCACAAAAGCAGAACGAACGAAGCACACATGATCTGTGGCTCCTGTATCTAGGAACCACATAACAGATCTGTTACCTGATGTATAATTGGAAGCAGCATTCAGGACTGAAGTCTGGATCATATTGGTTGAAGATGTAGGAATTTCTGTGTTGATCTTTGATGAGTGTAAAGCATTAAGCAATGAATCATATTGCTTGTGTGTCATGGAAACCAAGTCCTTCATTTCTTCTTGGTCCTGTGCTGAAGTATCAGCTACATCATTCATCGATACACAGTTAGCAGCATTTCTTGGCTTAAATCCTGGAGGAAAGCCATGTTTACGATAACAAGTGTCCACTGTATGATTTTGTCTCCCACAGAATGTACAGATCTTGGTATAGCCTCTTCCTTGGCCATAGTTTCCACGGCCTCTTCCTCTACTTGGAAAGCCACTTCTTCGTGCATTCATATCAGCCACAGTATTGCTGTTACTAGCAAACATTTTTGATTCATTGACAGCAACATTCTGTCCTTCTCCTAACATCTGCCTTTCTTGTTGAACCACCATCGAAAATACACGATTCACATTCGGTAAAGGATCAATTAACATAATCCGAGAGCGAACGTGAGAATACTGTTCGTTCAGACCTTTTAAGAACCTTATGATGTGGTCTCGCTCTCTGTGGTTTCTCATCAGTTGATATCCTCCATATTGACATGGAGCAGCACATCTACAATTGGGGAGAGGCTTCAAATTATCAAGCTCATCCCACATACTCTTAATATCTGTAAAAAAATCAGTAACTGAGCGTTCTCCTTGTTGCATCTTGTAAATGTCCTCTTAAAAATCGGAAACACGAAAGATATCCGATTGAGAGAACCTATCTTGGAGGTCAATCCAGGCATCACGAGCCTTATCTATCCATAGAATGGATTTTGCAATCGATTCACTAATAGAACGGTGAATCCAGGCAAGCACAATCATATTACACCGTCTCCAAGCACTGAATGTAGGATCTGTATCAGGTGGAGCTTGAATGGATCCATCTATGAATCCCAGCTTGTTCTTTGATAGCAACGCCATACTCATTGCTCGCGCCCAACTGTGGTAGTTCTTTCCATCAAGAATCGGATTCACTAATACCAACGCAGGGCTTTCATTAGGATGAAGAAAAAACGAATTTGCAGGGTTTGTAAGAAAATCTGGAAGTCCTTCTTGACTTGCCATTGCTCAATCAGAAATTGAAAATTTGTAGCGGAAGAGTGGGGTACCAGAGCTTTGCTCTGATACCATGTGAAATAATTTCTTGAATATATTGAGTAAAAGTGAAAAGTGTGTACAATACAAGCCAAGTGTAGCTTTTATACAGAAACCTAAGAAAGGAAAGTAAGCTGACTCAGCTAACTAAGCTAACTAAAAATAGTTACAACTGATTAACTTACTCACTAACAAACTAACAGATCGAAGCTAATGCACACGTGCATAAGTTAGTTGAACTAACTGTACAATGAGCTAATGAACAGAAAACTAAAGCTAACTGAGTCCTGATGCTTTGCTTCATGATGGGCTTGAACTTGGACTTGATTCATGATGGACTGGATCCACAATATGGGAAATGGATGTTGTCAAAAGAGAAGCCCGATTTTTTTTATATATACCTCTTCTATAATAGATTAGACATTAAATGGTAGCACATTAAGTCATCAAAAGCGGACTAATGATAAAGAATTTGGATAGTTTATATAAAATCATATATTTAAATTTTAGTATATATAATCATTGCATAAAAAATTAATAAAATTTTACTAATAATAAACATAAAATAAGAAAGCAATAACATATTGTAAAACAAATTTATAAATCACCGTTGCAGTTCAACGTTCTGACCATGTCCTTTTTCACAGATAGCATTTAGCAGGTTAGATGGTTGTGCTTTTGGGGTTGATAGTTCTCAATAAGATGCTAAGCCTTATGAGTTTTATAGTGCTAAGCTTTACACTGGTCTGACTATTGGAAAAGTAACAACATGCCATAAAACATAACTATAAATCCATATTAATACATTTGCATCATCAATCATTATATCTTGGGGTTGTATGTTTGTTTCTGTATGTAAGAAATACAAAAAGAAGTGAAAACAGATAGGAACGTAAATGTTTTGATTTTTGGTTGGTATTAATGGTATTACAAAATAACTTTGATGCATTTATGTGGCCTAAAGTGATGGGTTGGAGGGTAAAAGGGTTAAAGTTCACCTTCAACATCTTATTATTCTACATTTGTTATATGTTCAAGAAGTACAACGGCTACATTGCCTACGATAAAGTGTCAGAACAACTAATTAGCATACGAAAAAATTGAAAAAGATTTAATATATCAAGAATCCAAAATAAATGTAAAAAAATTAAATTATTTCTTTCATTCAAAAAAATTTGGAGAGGAGAAAGAGACCATCTATTAAGACAAAGTCTACAGTGGTTTATGCTAAAGCCTTATGGGTTTTATAGTGTTAAGCCTTACACTAGTCTGACCATTGACAAAGTAACAATATGCCATAAAATAGAACTATAAATCCATATCAATACTTTTGCATCAGCAACATTATATCTTGGGGTTATATGCTTATTTCAGTATGTGAGAAATACAGAAAGAAATGAAAAACAATAGGAATATAAATGTTTTGATTTTCACCCATAGTTTAAATTGGTTGGTATATAGGGTACTACAAAATAACTTTGATCCTTTATGTGGCCTAAAGTGATGGGGTGGAGAGTAAAGGGGTTAAAGTTCACCTTCAACATCTTTTTCTGCTTTTGTTATTTGTTCAAGAGATACAAGTATACAACAGCTACATTGCTTACGATAAAGCGTCATAACAACTAATTAGCATACCAAAAAGTTGAAAAAAGATTTAATATATCAAAAATCCAAAATAAATGTATAAAAAATGAAATAATTTATTGATTTCTTTCATTCAAAGAATTTTGGAGAGGAGAAAGAGATCATCTATTGAAGCAGAGTCTAATAGCAATTTATGCTAAGCCCTATGGGTTTTATAATGCTAAGTCTTATACTAGTCTGACCATTGGAAAAGTAACAACATGCTATAAAACATAACTATAAATTCATATCAATACATTTGCATCATCAATCAGTATATCTTGGGGTTGAATGTTTGTTTCAGTAGAGAAAGAAGTGAAAACAGATAGGAATATAAATGTTTTGATTTTCACCCGTAATTTAAATTGGTTGGCATAGACGGTAATATAAAATCACTTTGATGCCTTTATGTTGCCTAGAGTGATGGGGTGGAGGGTAAAAGGGTTAAAGGTCACCTTTAACATCTTCTTCTGCATTTGCTATCTGTTCAAGAGGTACAACAGATGGGACCAATAATCCCAAAAAAAAATAGATGGGACCAAAAATATGCTGGGAATGTGACCAAAAATCTGCTTGGTAGGCCAAAATATTATTGGAAATATTGGCTCAAGATTACTGATTCAATGTTTGGTTGATTGTCAAATATTACTGAGAATGTGAAATGATATTACAAAAATAATCTCCTCTTTAATAACTTGTTATGCTCAATGATGTGTTTCCAATATATTATGTATTAGGGTCAAATTGAGCATTTAATTGATCTAAAATTAATCAAAAAAATTAAAATTATGATTAAATTGTTAATTTACTTTCGAGAATATTTTCATGAAATTCTTATATTTTGTAGGAAATTTGGCTCAGTGAAAGAAGACCAAGTTGGATAACTCAACAAGAAGCAAGAAAGGAATGAGAAAAAAACAATATTTGCGCCAGCTCCGTGCTACTAGAGTCAAACTCCCTGATGGATTTCAAATTTTCACGCTAACGGCATGAGAATGGCGCTACGAGTGCCCAATACACATTAAGCCCTGTTTCACGGGGCTAGAGGTGTCAGGTTGGCACCATTAGCGCCAGTATTCATGATTTTGGATTTATTTGAAGATATTGCAAAGGATTTGATAGGATTTTAAAAGAGATACTTTCTCTCAATATAAAAAGTGAACTTTTAAAAACATTGGGGTATTCATTCTTTTAGCACGAAGGAAGAAAGCAGAGAGAAGAGAATTCAAAGTTTCGAAGATTAAGGACAAAGGTGGAGGGAGATCGAAGCGTCATCGTGGAGATCAACCAACACTCACTCCATGACTTCTATTTTTTTTTTCTTTTTTATTGTTTTGTTTAAGCCAGATAGATATGTGTGGCTAATTTTTTTTGTAATTAAGAATATGGATACAACATGCATCCTTTATTTGGTTTAATTCTTTTTATCAATAAACTATCTTTAATTGTTTGTGTTTATCTTGAATTGCTTGTTTAAATTCTTGTATGATTTGGCCAATCATATAGGAATAAAGAGGGATGGGGTTCACAATAGATACATTGGTGTCTTAATCTAGAACGGGATAAACATCAATTCTTACTTGATCTAGACATTGGCTGGTACGAATTGCAAACTTTTGTAATTCATCGCGCGTAAGGCTTAATCAAATTTGATTTGTCCAACATAAGTAAAAATAGTGAACTAATTCTTCAAACACTAATCCTCGTGGGAACAATACTCTAATTCTTTATTACTTGTACGACCGATATACTTACCGTGATCGCAACAAGTTTTTGGCTCGGCACTATCAATTGTTCCAGTCGTTCGTCCAGGTACCAAAGGGTTTCAAGTTAAACAGCACAGAAGCATCATTATCAAGCTCCTCATTTTGTAACATTATTACCAACAACAAAGACAAATTAGCTATAAAAAAAACATGTTGATAATAATTAAAAGCAACCACAAAGTTCTTAGTGGAAAAAGGATCTTTGGGAGTAATCTTGTTCTTAGAGCCTTGGTACTTGACGTCAAGGCACGCTAATTCCCTTGATTTCTTGGAATCTTCCTGAGATTTGTAGAGCTCAACCTTCAATTCCAGGATCGACAATGCCCCAACACCCGCTATGGCTCGTGGCTTCTTCAACATTATCGATGATTCTGTTAGCCATCGCAATGATTCCATCACCACCATCTTCTTCTTACTCCACTCCTCCTTCGTCATCCTTGGCTTTTTCCTCTCTCCAATTCCACAATCAAATTTCTAGGAAGGATTGTTTTTCTGAAAAATTACTCAATATTTTTCCACCTTGTGGGATTTTTAGAATATCACATGTTGGGTGGTTTTATTCTTTGGGAATCTTGTTCACATTTTTAAAATCCAAGAAAAACAAGAATCCCAGGAAAATTTTCACACTCCCTTGAACTAAATATAAGAAAATAAGATTCCCAATATCAATTTCTCGAGAATCTCAAATTTAGCCACGTTCCAAACGCCCCTCAAAGAATTTTGAAGAGGAGAAAGAGACTGTCTGTTGAAGCAAAGTGTATACCGTGGATATTCCAGCTAAATAAAGCGAAAAAGGCACTAACATCAACATCACAGGGCATTTTTTCTTCAATATAATGCTCAACTTCTGCCTTGCTATGAAAACCCTGTTTCGGTTTGCGGCTTGAATCTGGTTTCTGCCCACGAAGTCAAATTGGAGATAGAGGCCCCGATCTTGAAAGCATTCATCCTACCCAATTCTCTTCCCTATTCTCTATCCCCAAGTGTCACCTGGTTCAGGCCAATCAACTGGGGCATATGGCAAACCTTCTCCTTCTGTTCCTGGTGCCACCGAAGGTAGATTATGATTATCTTCCATCACAATCGCTGAAGATATAAGTGAATTTATTAGAATGAGTAATTTTCAGATTAGATAAGAAAACACTAAAATTTACAGACTAACTATTTACAATCTGACTCAAAAAACATTACATATACATGTTTGCATGTATTATATATGTATATACATGCCCATCGTAGGTGCATAAGATAAAAGTGGAGATGGCAGAACTTCTATTTTTTGGCTGTGTAATTGTCTTAACACAAGATACTACATTCAAACACTTATTTAGGATCTTAAGATACTATTTACTTTATAATACGAAATTTGCAGCACCCACTTGATCACTCAAACTTTATGTTAGTGGAATATACCGCATTATGAATAAAATACTACATAAAATGCAAAGTCAACATGTATATACTGCATACACATCTTCTGGCTAAAGATAAGATAGTAGTATATGCATTTGGGCTGTTCTTGAAACAGATATAAAGTTGAAACATAAATTAATGGAAGAGTAACATTCAAACAAAAAATCTCTAGTTCAAATTCCACAATCAAATTACTGCATATATCAACACAGGATAAATTAAGCCCCAGTTATCAAAAATATATTTTTCTGCAGTTGAAGTTAGAAATTATTCCTGCATGTTGACAAGGCAATCAATATGAGACACTGATGTTTCAGTCACCATAATGATTCTAGCTCCACTACCAACATAATCTTAAATGTTAAAAATAATTAAAGTAGGGCCAATAAAAAGTAAGGATAAATAATGCTATAGCTCATGTTAACAGGAGTCTCCAGCAACAACAGTGAAGTTACAAGTCAAATTAGCAGTTGTTTAACAGAACACTTACAGAAAATGATCCCAATAGTCTGTCATTATATAATTATGTCAACATATCCCTTTAGGTCGTTTTATCAAACACCCAAAAAGCAAGATAAGCAATAGGGTCATCAATTAATCAAACTGAACACCCTTGTTCCTTTCACGTTTTACTCTTTACAGACATTAAAAGGAAGAGAAAGAGGACCACTACCATAAATTTCAGCCTATGAAGCACCGATACTCTGATTTTTTTTCCAATGTATCGGATACGCGTATCGAAAACGTATTCTATCGTATCGAAGAATTAACGGTCATATTGAGAACGTATTGGGAACGCATCGAAAATGCCGTGTCGGAGTCGGTGCTTCATAGATTTCAACTATGAAACAAATATGTAGAAATAACTCTACCAATGTGTCTCGTATCCATGTTTCTCGAATTTTCTAAAACGGTAACATTGTTTATTTTATTTAATAAAAAATAAAAATAATACCAATACATATGCCAATTAAACTCAGAAACCAAAAGCCCTAAATGCATAATCCGAAGAAACTTAGATTACTAATCGAAATGCAAAACCAGAAAACAGAGGTGTAAAAGCCAAACCACAGCAATGAAAGGAAAAAACACGAGCTCAAACACCTGAAGCTCTTCAACACAGCAGCTCCAAGCTTCCTACTTCACTCGTGTTTCTGCAACCTTGGAATGAAGAGAAACATCCAAGAAAGTACCACACCTCAACCTGTAACAATGATCCGTGAAGCAAAAACACCGAATCTAGGCAAGATTGAACGAAGAACATAGTTAGCACATGAATGGTTTTCTTGAGAGAAAACCCTGGTAGAGAGCTTTTGTGAACCTTCGAAAATGCAAGCGAGAGAGATAGAGAGTAAAAATTGATTATGTGGAGATGAAAGAAATCCTGATAGCAACAATATATTTTATCAGGGACATGACTATAACCAAAGGGAAAACAACTTCTCCTTTCAAAGAGAACACTCATCTTATGCGGTAGACAGAGTTGTTGTGGGTCCCATTTGTTTTTTTGAAGAAAAAAAAGCTAAGCACAGAAATCGATGTGAGTGCTGCAAAAAAAAATTGAGTGCGAAATGAGAGGTATAAACCCCATAACTAAAAGGCACTAAACAAAAAGCAATATTATTAGTTAATAAAAAGGTGTGTTTTACCAACAACAAACAGAAAAGCAATATAAGAAAATTAAATAAAAATATAGTAGCAAGGAAAAACTAATAAAAAAACAGCATACATACACAATGTAGTACATAGTGTGCTTTTTTTAGTAACACCACACACAACAATACGTGTGTGAAAATAAACCAGAGCAAGTTAAAGCTATAATTTATCTTGAAATAAATTAAGCATACCGATTAAAAATAAAAAAGAGAGAGATTTTTTTTGAAACAAAGCCAGTTAAAACTCCCTATTTTCTTTAAACACATTCCTCAATTCCAATGAAATGCACATAGAATTAAACTTTGTGTACTACAAGAGAACAAAAATGACATTGCAGAACAACATATCAATGCGTCCTTGATTGCATGCTCAAGCAAAGAGAAGTATTATGAAAATGGGCGGAATCCGGTGTGAGGGTTGATAATTCTATTCGTTAACTTTCAACTAAAAACAAGAATCTTCATAGCACAGAAGAGAAAGTAATGCCAAACAAGAAAGATTGAAAGAAGATGAAAGTAAATAAGGCAGACCTGAGTGTTGCAACACGATGTGGAACAAGATATTGAGGGTTTCGGCAAATGCAAGGAAAGAGGAGCAACAAAACAGAAGCATAGAAGCCAAGGAAGCAAAAAGCAAACGAAGACAGAACAAAAAGACTCGAGAAAGACATATTGAGATCACAAGGACACGCTTACTACGCTGTTACAACGACCTTCTTCACCGAGATATTTTATCTCTTCTCCACCGAACAACTCATCAACAAGCAAGGAAACTACATCGACCAAAATACTCGACTTGTGACGCTGAACAACTTCCTAAAAAATAGGGGTGTTAAAATAGCTGGGGGCATTTGGCCTGACTCGTCTATTTTGGTGGTTGGATACAGATTTGGACTTGTGTAAAAGTTTATTTAATAAAAGATCCAGACTCCAATTCAAAAGCTTGGCTTTAGAGCCTATCAGACTGACCTGATATAGTAATTCTTATTTTTATTTTATATTTTTTATACTACTCATTTGTATCTTATGTTATTACAATTAAATGTAAAAAATAATTTGACTTTACTTTAATTTATTGGTTAAGCAGACTTTTTGAATGATTTTCTATATTATACTGTTTGGATATACATTGAATTTATGAATCTTTGTAGAATTATTACTAGTGTTGTTGATCGTATATTTTGTTTGGATATATTTTTATTGTCTTAGCTTACCAAAAAAAAAAATTTATTGTCTTATCTTTTTTTAATAGGCTAAACTAGACTTTTATTTTTTGTAAATAAGTCAAGCCACATGCCAATAATTATATTCATAACAAGTTACATGTTAGGTGAGTCTGACACATTTAAATGCAAGCTTAGTCTTTCAATACTAAAGCTCAGCTCGATCCGATAGATTAACAGTACCTCTACTCAAAAACACTGAGTTAAGATTCTGAGCGTAGCTCACTCAATTAACCTTACAAAATTGCTCAAGGAAATCCTAGCAGAGAGATTTTCAATGAAGGAGTTTGATATAATTTTAAAGGTGTTAAATCGTCATGAAATAATATCTTAATCATTAAATGAAAATTACAGGAAGTACTTTTTTTCATGAATAATTAGATTTAGAATCAATAGCGTAATAAATAAACATTATAAAAGACTAAATTTTAAATGAATAAAACTATGAAAAAGTGATATTTAACTTGTAATAAGAGTAAAACTCAAAATATAGAGATTAATAAAATAAAATAAAAACTATAAAGACAAAATCCAATTAGGTTAAAATTATAGAAATTAAAAAAAATTAAGTTTACTCTTAGTATTAATAAGCGAGGTAGAATATTGATATACTAATAATAATATTCTCATAAATATAAATTCAGTTGAATGTTATTATTTTAATTTACTTATTATCCAGTTTTTCTAATATTTCCTAGTTGTTGTATGATACATGAAATGATGCATAAGAAGAACTAAAATGAATGAAAACATACACTACAAGAAAACCGGAATACAAAGGCGGTGTTTTAATGGCTGTTTTAGAAGCCGACCCTAAATCAAGCAATTAAAGCGCCCCCAAGCTACTTATTAAGTCTTTTCTCTCTCTCTTGACGGTAGTAAATATCCCATTAGCGCATCGAATATGTTTTTCCTTTTTAGCAACAAACGCATATCCGTTGCTATTTCTGAATGGCCACTCTTTATTTCTCTTCTTCACCTTCTTAGCCAAACCCCAACCCTAATCCTACCTTTTCCTCTACCAATCCCAAATCTTTAATTTCCATTCCACAATGCTTCCCCAATCTCAAACTCAAACCCCTTCTCCGGAATCTCCCATATCGCTCCTCCGAGTCTCATTCAAACCATACCATTCCTGCTTCGCAGCCGCAATCGACGCCATCTTTCGCATCTACAACTGCGACCCCTTCCGGGAGCTCTTCCGTCGCGACTTCGCCGGCGGAGAAACCGGCCACGTCGAGATGCTCTTCCACAGCAACGTAATGTGGCTCGTCGATGGCGAACTTCAAGCTAGTGCAAACAACGAGGTTGAGATATGGGGAAGTACACGCTTCTAACAGGTACACGTTGCTTCTATTTTCTGAATGTTCTCAATTTCACTGTTCTGTTTGAGATTTTTGGTTGTGATTTTTTAAATAAACCAATACTGTAGAATAACATTATGCTGTTAAAAATCATAAGCTAAGCAGGCTTAGGTTCGAAATGTGTGTATATTAGTTTGGCGTAATGTTTGGATAATGAAGATAATGGTTGAGGCTAATTGAATTGAGAAATACAAAAGTAGTTTATTTGGCGAAGTGCCAGTTTTGACGAGTTGGATGATTTAAAGTGCAGAATATTTTCTTGTTTCATATGGGAATCAAGATGCATGTTCAGCTATAAGATTTTCAGTTTGGACTGATACAGATGCATCCGTTCAATTATTGGTTTTTTCATGCATATAATTTTTGTCTTATATTTAATGTTTAATTTGTAGTGTATTTTTATGACAGCTCGTTAATTTTTCCTAGGTAAATTCTGAATTTTATTAATTCTGACACCTTAGAATTTTAGTACAATTGGAAATCTTACACTTCAACCATTACATGAGACCCATGTGGTGCATGATGGCCATGTGTCATGAAGATTCCTCCTCACTAGCCTTGCATGGCCGCGACATACACCTCTCTTGTATAATATTGTGTTGCACTGTAAAGTTATGCTCAAAATTTATTCAATTTCACAGAACATGCATCTATTATGTCATGTACCTTCTCTGTATATACTGCAACTCGGCTTCTCTGGTGTGAAAAAATAATGAAAATATTTAGTTGCACTATGATTGCTTGCTATTTTTTAGGAATGGGCTCAGAGGTTGTTCAACATTATGAGTTATAGTGAATTACTTAGATTTTATTCTTTCTTTTGCCTGAGTATAGACCCATCTTCTACTTGGTACCTTAAAAAATGCAGTTATACCTGTCAGAATTGCAAGTCAACTATCGACCCTTCTGATTATTATACTCTTGTACTACTTGTGTGAAAGTATCTTCATTGAATCAGTTATTGCAGGCGTTGCCCATGTTCACTTTCGCAAACCAGGCAGGGCTTGACATGCTGGAGACTACCTTAGTTGCTCTAAAAGACATAAAGTTAGAGAAAATATTTGACGATCATGGAAGGTGCTGAACGAAGAAGAGAATGCTCATTGTATTTGCTTTATGAATCATATATCTGACTTTGACATGGTATTTTCTTACTGATTTGGCAGACTTGGATTTCTTGTTTCATATGTTTTTTCTTGCTCGGTACTGCAAGCTTCTAGAGGAGAACTCGTTCTGGGGGAGGACTGCCGATTTCTTTTACATGCTCTTATTTGGTGCCACTGTATTGACTGGAATTTTCTTCTTGGGGGGATGATATATGATGGTGAGTCACATTTTTATATATTTTTGGTAATTGAGTTCACATGTTAAAATCTGTCTCAAATGTTAAAGCTTAATTTATCTTTTTTAGGTTTACGTGTGGAGCAAACGAAATCCCTTTATTCATATGAGCTTCCTTGGCCTCTTTACTTTCACTGCTGCCTACCTTCCATGGGTGCGTAAGATCTATGGTTGTTATCTGTCTGATTGGAAAATAATATTAACCCGTTTGAGGCATTTAATACTTGTGTATAAGACAGTTGCTTGAATATCTACTAGTTATTTGGGCACATGTTATCTTGTGTTCAACCTTTTTTTGCCCTGGAGCAGCTTTCAGGGAAGTTCAACCTTGAGGGAAATATTGAATTGCAGGTATATGGCTGGCCCAAAATATTGAATTGTATACGTGAATGATAAATGAGATTGTAGTAATCTCTTAGCTAATGGATGCAAGTATTCAATGGAGCAGGTTGGTGTTAGTTCTTCCGCACCAGGTGCTGCATTACAAGTAGATATTCAGGCTTCAAATTGTAGTGGTTCTTTGCTTTTTACATTATGGAGTTGTACTTGATACCCAAGAATATGTTGTAATTTGAAGGAGATTTATTTTCCCCCTTGTACTTTTTTAATGTTTCCAGGAAGTGGGTACTCCCTTCTCGTTGCTCAGATGGAACCAAAAATTATAAGAACAGAGCTCTTAGAACTCTTATTTATGAAAGTAAGTTTCCAATAATTACTGCAGAAGAAAAATAGTTTCAAGGAATATTTATAAACTGGCTTGACTGATTTAAATATAGATTTCATTACTGTTTGATTATTTTTCCTTTTACTTTTCTCTTATTAATCTGGCTCAGGATCCTTCCTTAAAATCGAAATTGATGATCCTGCTGCACAAGCCATTGAGTTCCTTATACTTTATGAAGCTCAGAATAAGTGGTGTGCTTTTCATAATCTTGTTTCCTTTCTCCCCTACGTGAATTTTTACTTTACGTGAATTTTCTTTGATCAGGTTATGGGTGAAGGAGAGGAACATAGAGTCGTTAAAATTGCTGACTTTGGACTTGCAAGGATATATCACGCTCCTTTGAAGCCATTATCTGAAAATGGGGTATGACTGTATGATGAGGAATCATTTTCATTGTTATCCACCTGTATTATATCCATCATTTTCATGCATATTTTTATACATAAATATGGTATTCTTTGAAATTAAGAAACCAAAGCGTGGGTAAGCATATATTTTTAATTTGACCAAACTTATTCAAGTCATATTTGGGAACTTGTCTTGGACAAATGGGAAGCACAGAGTAACCAGTCTTATTGTAGTCCTGTAACTTCAGAAATTACTCAGAGGAATGTTATGCTATCATAACCATTTTAGTATGTGTTTGTGTTTGTTGTTGTCAGGCTATAATGATAATAATGTGTTTTTTACCATTGCAATGTCGCTGTATTGAACTTTCTTACATTGGAGCTATATACTGTAATAGGCACACTGAATCATGTAAGGAACGCATATGCAAGATCCTTCTAAATAATATTAATTAGTATTATGCCCTTATTCACCATTCTACCTTCACCAGTGCTTTTTCCTCTTTCTATTTGTTCTTTCATTTCCTTCAATTATGTCCCTCTAATTTACGAGCCATGCAACTGAATTCCCATAGCCAACTGTAATTGAATTGCTCTGTTATTTTTTTAAGAATGAATGAATTTAGTTGAAAGGGAATCACAATAATCAATTGTACAATGTTCGTAACCTAAACTCCTAACTTAGTCTTGTTGTGATTTAGTTGCTTTTATATTGTCATCTTGCAAGTATCATTTTTCAAAACTAAAGGAAGTGAAGTGGTATTGCTTTCAGTTACAATGATTTTTATGATCTATCAACATATTTGGGCTTGAGAAAGATCAGGGTCCAACAAGAACAGTTCCTGTTGGGAGGACAACAAAAGATGATCTCATTCGAGCTAAATCATTATTAAATAATCACATCCTGGCTCAACACAGCCCTGGTACTCATGTAAGTCTCAATTTCATATTTTCTCAATTTATGTCTGTAGATCACATATAATATTTGAATTTTGGACAAGTTATCTTAATCTACTGAATTTGTAGGTTGCAAAGGTATCTCTTAAAACAATTCCTGGTATGCCTTATTATGGAGTTAGTGGAAATAATAGCATTTATAATCTGAGAGTTAAGAAACATCAATCAAGCGCTTCACATTGGTTCAAAATGGACAGGTGCTACTGATAAAATCGTTATAGGATGGCATGTGAGTTTTAATTTATGTAATTATCGCAATATGGCTTGTTGGTTGGGGTGGAAAAACCACAACCTCTGTCCAGTCCTCCAATGGGATCTTGATCCTTTCCTGATGAGAACTATATACATGCATGCTATTATTTTCTATTGTTCAGAATTGCCCCATTATTTTCTATTAATTTTAGTATGACTTTCATAAATTTTTTGACTTTTGAGCTGAAAATGAATGTTCAGTTATTCTTGAACTTACTGTTAAATTATGGTTGCTTCCTAGCTTATTTTAGTGAATAATGATGATAAAGAAATTTATTGTCTGTAGTAGATATGGAACCACCCTGGGATCTTACAATTGACAAAAGAAGACAAGGACTATGTAAGACATGAAGATGCTGCTGAGAATTTTCTTGCGGATGATAGCTCCAGTGACAAAAAAATACTTTAAAGTATTTTTTTTTTATTTGATTGGGCATTTCAACGGACATAATTGAGAGACTAATCTCTCCATAAAGAGAGTGGTAAGTTTTTAGATTCAAACCTTTAAAGCTACAGGTAGACTTGTCTTGAATGGCAAATCATCACTCTTAGCTAAAAGACAAAAGTATTTAATATATTAAAAAAATTAAATATATGAAAAACTTTAAACTTTTAGAAAAAGTTAAAAGGCACCTTAGCTTGTTCGAAGAAATTTCTATTTGATGCCGGGTCCAACGTAAGAGTTGAAATCAAAGAAGATATATACAAATCTTCACCTTTGTGGGTTAGACTATTATTCGCGACGACCAATACAAACAAATACATTGGTCTTTAATCGAAACCATATGTATACTTGTGTGTTTCGGTACAGATTTTTCTCGAATCCAACACTACCAAGCATAGCCACAGATGGAAGACAACCTTATCTACATCCTTTCCTTCCTCCTTTTTCTTATCACTTTAAAGCTATTATTCTTCAGAAAAAGATACAAAAACCTACCACCGAGCCCACCTTCTCTTCCGATAATCGGAAACCTCCATCAGCTGAAACCACCACTTCTCTGCGCCTTCCAAGGCCTCTCACAGAAATATGGCCCAATTTTCTCCCTTAGATTCGGGTCTCAACTCGTGGTGGTCGTTTCATCTGCATCCGCTGCCGAAGAATGTTTCACCAAAAACGACATCATTTTCGCGAACCGTTTTCACTCTCTCAAGTCCAAGTATCTTTACTTTAACCACACCACTCTACTTACATCATCATACGGCGACCACTGGCGCAACTTACGTCGTATCAGCTCACTCGAGATCCTCTCCACTCACCGTCTCAACTCCTTTTTGGGAATCCGAAAGGACGAGACCATGAGGTTGCTTCGAAAGCTATCTGAGGGCTCTTGTAAAGACTTCACAAAAGTGGAGCTCAAGTCTAAGTTTTCGGAGCTAACATTCAACATTATCATGAGAATGGTCTGTGGTAAACGCTATTACGGCGAGGAATATGATGGGACTAACGCTGAGGAAGCTAAGAAGTTTAGAGACATAATGAATGAGATGGCAGCGTTCGGTTTGGGATCGAACCTCGGGGATTTTGTGCCTGTTTTCAAGTTGTTCGATTTTAGTGGTGTCCGTAAGAAGCTAAAAAGGGTTGGGGGTAAGGTGGACGCGCTTTTCCAAGGACTCATCGATGAGCATCGGAATAAGAAGGAGAGTTCAAATACCATGATAGAACATCTACTTTCCTCACAAGACGCACAACCTGAGTATTACACTGATCAAATAATCAAAGGACTTGTTATGGTGAGTCATTACTTTATAAAAAAAAAAGTGTAAATACGAGTCTACATATTTCTTTAATTCGTCCCCTCACGTAACAGTCCACTGACTTGAAAGGTGCATAGATCCACTGGCTTGAAGTTGTGATATCTGAGGTTACCATAACATGTAAAAAATTAATTTAACCCAAAAAAATTAGAGTAGGGTATAGTTTTTATACTCCTCTAGCAATTATATAATTACAAATTCTTTATTGTTTTTCAGGTGTTGATAGTGGCTGGAACAGAAACTTCTGCATCGACATTAGAGTGGGCGATGTCAAATCTGTTAAACCATCCAGAGGTGTTGGAGAAAGCAAGGATTGAATTGGACAATCAAGTTGGACAAGATCGTTTGATGGAGGAATCAGATGTTACCAAATTACCGTACCTTCAGAATATAATCTCCGAGACTCTGCGATTGTATCCTGTGGCGCCACTCCTGGTACCTCATTTCTCCTCCGATGACTGCATCGTGGGAGGTTATGATGTGCCACGTAAGACGATGCTAATGGTGAATGCGTGGGCCATCCATAGGGACCCACAGCAGTGGGATGATCCAACAAGCTTTAAGCCCGAGAGGTTTGAGAACGGTCAAGCGGACGCTCAAAGTCTTTTCTCCTTTGGGATGGGGAGGAGGGCATGTCCTGGGTCAGGGTTGGCCCATAGAACTCTGGGCTTGACTATAGGCTCGCTGATTCAATGCTTTGAGTGGAAAAGGATTGGAAAGGAAGAAATTGACATGACCGAAAAAACAGGAAATGTGATGCTTAAGGCCATTCCATTGGAGGCCCAATGCAAAGCGCGTCCAATCATCAACAAGATTTTCTCTGAACTATAGTAGCAGCTCAAAATTGATTAAGGCTTACTATTTTTATTTATTAGTATTTTCAAAAATTTATGAAGTTGAATAAAGCTGTAGACAAAGGCGGTAGTCGAAAATAGGGGTATTCATCAATAGATCCAAACCGATTCAAACTGTGGTGACCGAACCGAAAAATCGATAATCGAATAAACTGAAAATCAAAAAACCGAAAAAAATTGCAAATTTTAATTGGATCTGTTCGGTTTTCGGATTGGTTGATGAAAATCGATCCAATCCAAACCGATACAATATATTATGCGCACACATTGAACTTAGTAAATTCAGACCAGTATTGGCCTTCATCTGATGAACCCAAACTTATTCCTCCACCACTGAAAAGGCCAATCGGGGGTCCCAAGAAACATAGGAGAAAGGACCCCAGTGAAGAACAAGGAAGCAGTGCAAAAAAAGTGAAAAGGACCTATGCAGCTAAATGTCCTAAATATGGTCAGCTTGGACACTATGCAAAGAGACCAGCAACTAGTAAGAAAGGGAAGAGACTAGCAAGACAAGCAAATCCAAACAATGTCAGAATAACATCAAGATCAGTGGAAGAAATTCCTTTAAGTCAAGGAGGCCCTGCACCAATGGGCAGTTCACTCCCAGATAAGGGAAACTTGAGAGGTAGCAGCCCACCTCCATCAAATCCACCGAAGGCAACTGAAGTTTTGAGTAATGAAACTATAAATGCAACCAGCAGTGGCACACGAAACAGATTATTGGCCTTCATTCCCACACCTGATTTTAAGCCACCAAGGCCTGCCTCAAGAAAAAGAGCACATGATATCTATAGTGTGGGATTTTTGCATAGCCAACTGATGAAGGTATACTTATTATGTGAATGTTTTTTTTTTTTTTTTTGGAATTCCTGGCCATTATGTATTTCGGGCCATTTAGTATTAAAGGCCAATATGGTTATTTTGTTGTACCCTTTCTAATTGTACTCAACAGTGCTTTAAAGGCCATTTAGTATTAAAGGCCAATATGGTTATTTTGTTGTACCCTTTCTAATTGTACTCAACAGTGCTTTAAAGGCCATTTTGTATTACAGGCCTTTGTTTTATTCTTTTTATTGACAGCACAGTTGGCTTCATGTTGTAAACCCCTCCTGTAAATGGATGACATTTATTTATTAATGATATTTCTTAAATTCTGATGTTTTGTATTCAAATATGATGTTCCTTAATTTCTGATTATTACATGTCATATGAGAGTATATGTTGTATGGTTGTACTAATACAACGATTGCTCTGATACAATGAACTATGGTTTGGGGTACCATTTGGGGTACCACTATTCACATGGCCTAAGTATGCAGAAAAATAGCTCAATGCTTCTAATTTGGATTGGCAATTGAGCTAAGCATTTGCTTATACAACGAATAGTGATCTTCAGATGGCAGTGGAGACAGACAAAGGACTATAAAACATTTGATGCAAACAGATGGCGAGGAATAATCCATGAGCTTGAGCAGGCCATTACATATAGTTTGAGCTTGAGCAGAAAAATATAGCACAAAAAAAATTGGTAAATATCTTTTTTGGTTCCTGACAGATTTCACAAAGCCCTTTTTGGTCTCTTGCAGTTAAAAGGGCACTCGTGGTCCTATAAGCTTGAGCATGCCATTACATATAGTTTGAGCTTGAGCATAAAAATAAAGCACAAAAAAAAGTAGGAACTAATAGAAAACAAGCCATGTAAATTAAGCTTCTTTATTTATTAATTTGCTCAAAAAAGTACTCAGTACTAGGGGTGTTCATCAACCGATCCAAACCGATTCAAACCGCGGTGACCGAACCGAAAAACCGATAACCGAAAAACCGATAACCGAAAACCGATTAAAAACCGCAAATTTTAATTGGATTAGATCGATTTTTGGATGGGTGATGAAAACCGATCCAATCCAAACCAATCCAATATATTAATTTTCATCTACCTACTTGGGTATTTCCCTAATCATAGCTTAAAAATTTCTAAACCTAAGACCCATTAACCCATCAACTAAACGCAAGAAAAAATCTAGTCATATCTCATCAACAAAATTTTATCTTTGTAGAGCTTCGTATCTCATTGCCAAAATTTTATCTTTGTAGAGCTTCGTATCTCATTGCCAAAGCCAATATATACAAAAGATGTTATTTGCACAATAATCATGAAATAAATTTTAGGATTTTCAAAAAATCGAAAACCGATCCAATCCAAACTGAAAAAAATTGGATTGGATCGGGTCGGATTTGAAAAAAAAAAAAAAGCAAAACCGAATGGATGATTATATGATCAAACCGAAGGAATTGGATCAGATGATTTTTGCTTCCAAAACCGATCCAATCCAGACCGCGAACACCCCTACTCAGTACTTATTACACTTCAGTTAAGAAACATTACATTGGGTACACTTGTTTTGATTGTTAGCATACTTGCAACATCGATACACATCATGATCAGACCAACACATGTAGCAACTAAGACCTTAGCCCTCCTACCAACATGCCTAATTTCCTTGTCCATGATATCTAGCTCTGAAACCATCTTCAGGTATAACTCATTTAGCTTTCTTTCCTGGTCATTAATCTTCAGTTCTTGCTCAGTAATCTTCACACCTTGTTCATTCAGCTTAACTTGCAATTGTTCACTCATCATCATGTCCACATACTTCAACTTGAATTCTATTTCAGCAATATCCAACTCCACCTTGAGAATTATTCCTTCTTCCAGCTCTATCATTTCATTATATATGTCATCTACCCATCTAACAAAAAATCACAAAATGGCTTCTTCTCCTGCCAGCAAAACAAACCACGGTGAGCATATGCAGCAACTTAAATCAACACACATTACACATGTATATTTTGAAATTGGGGCACCCAAAGAATGCCCTGTTTGGGTTTTTCTCAATTTTGGAGGTATACACAATAGTTTGCCTCCTACATTTACACCTTTGACCGGCAGTCCTTGTTAGGGTTCTACCCCTAATTGAAGTACTTCCACTTGAGCCCTTTATGCCAGAAGAAAGACTCATCTTCTCCTACGCTCCAGCAAATCCAGTATTTCACTTCTACTGTTGTCAATTTGCAGTCATGAACGTGCGGAGCTTTTGGGGAAATTTTTAGGTTACAACTGATTTAGGGTTCTCAATTTACCCCTTTGTTAGATCAGGTTACCCTTCGCTGCTACTTCAGGTCTACGGTCAACGACCATGGAGATGCAACTCATCTTCAGAACGTCGTCGTCTTTTTTCCACGGTGTACTGTTTCTTTCTGAGTCAGCAAACTAACGTGACAAGTGTGCACCGTTACATTGGTCGTTGGATGCCAACTAATAGGATGACTAACGTGGCTTGTTTTTTAAAATTTATGGGACCATGAGTGCCCTTTTTAAATTCTAGGGACCAAAAAGGGCTTCGTGAAATTTGTAAGTGACCAAAAAAAGGTATTTTCTCATGAAATTAATACATACAAGTAGGGGTGTAAATAGGCTAGACTTTGGCTTAAATATGTCAGGCCTGTGTAAAATTATTGGGTCTGGCCTGGCCTGTTAGCCTGTGTATGCCCCAAATTACAAGTCTGTCTGACTTATATTTAAAAAATAAAAGTCTTAGCCTAGGCCTGTTAGTCTGTCTAAGCCTAGGCCTGTTAGTCTGTCTAAGCCTAGGCCTGTTAGTCTGTCTAAGCCTATTAAACATTCAACAATTAAAAAAATATCTAAAATAATATAACTTTATTATTCAAAATTATTAAAATAATAATTTATTTATTTATTAAAATAAATAATATGATATAGGCCGACATGTAAGCTTATAGGCTCGATATGTACAAAAAAATGCCTGTTTTCTAAATAGGTTTTTTAAAAGTCTAGGCTTGTTCTATTTTACTATTTGTAATAGGTCAAGTCTGACCTAATATAGGCTAGGCCATAGACACCTATAGGCCGGTCTAGCCCGTTTACACCTCTACATACAAGATAAAACTATCTTTTTCTGTTATCAAAAAAAAAAAAAAAACTATCTTTTTCATAGAACCGTGATACTAAAGTTGGAACTTGGAACCAACGACCTCTTCCAAACTATTCAATTATCTCCCCTCTAAATTAGTAAATTTCAAAATTTAGGAAAAGATTAAGGGTAAAGTATTTCTTCAGTTACTGGAGATAAGTTATCTCGAGTGACAGTGACCACCAAAACTACGTCATTCTGGAGTAATGAAGAATATTTCGATAGTTTTATTTATTTTTTTATCATATGAATTTTACCGAAGCACCCTTTATTAATTTTCTTAAAATTATGAAAATATCCTTCATTAATTCAAAATAACGTAGTTTTTGGGTCACTGAAAATAACTTATCTACACTAACTCTGGAAAAAAACTTTACCCTAAAACTAAATTATCATAAACAAATATCTATATTGTTGAGAAATATAGTCTCACATTGGTTGTATGGGCAACCAATGTGAGGTTTATAAGGCCTTGGGCACTCCTACCCTTTGAGCTAGCTTTTGGGGTGGTGACCTCAAGGTTCTTAACATGGTATCAGAGCGTTCAAAATCTCACCGCCTCCCACTTTCTTTGTAGTGGAATTTCCACATGTAGGTGGGCTTGTATGTTGTTCACCCTTCAAGTCCAGTGGGCTTTCGTGTGAGGAGTCGTGTTGAGAAATATAGTCTCACATTAGTTGTAAGGGCAACTAATGTGAAGTTTATAAGGCCTTGGGCACTCCCACCTTTTGAGCTAATTTTTGAGGTGGTGACATCAAGGTTCTTAACATATATGAAAATGGAATCGGAAAATTGATAACAAATCATAATAAAAGACGACCCGTGACCGTGAGCCTTAGCTCATTTAAACAAGCACATACTTTAAGGAGTGTTTAAATTAATTTTGAAAAAAATATTAATTGTTTTAAGTTATTAAAAAAATGATTAATTTTCTTATTTTATTTTTTAATCAAAGATTTATTTAATTAATTTGAAATAATTAAATTTATATTTTAATTAAAAAAATACTTTTGGTTTGAAAATAATCCAATTAGATGTATCTCTATTTGGTTCGAGTTTGATTTTATGAGGGATATTATTCTCCTCCACGTGTCTCTCATAATTTCTATAAAATTATGACAAATTAAGAAACGGTATTCAGATGTGTTGGGTATACATGATAGAACAAAAAATTAAAATTTTATAAAATTATAGAAAAAAAAATTGAGTAAAATGTGATATTACTCATTTGTATTTGAAATTTGTATGAGAAGAGAGAATAACGAATATAAATTTAAGAAATATGTTATGTTCAATATAAAAAAAAATCACATGCTCAAACTTTTGGTCATATTGATCCATTTATTTTTTAGGAGAGATTATAGTTACTATCTCTTTTATATATATTTTTTTCTCTCTCTCTATCATCAGTGGCTTTCTCTCATTTTTCTTTTTTGCGAGTTCTCTATTGACTTTGTTTTACATTTTAACATCACAATTATATCAATAATTTATATTATCTAAAGAACAATTGATGTATACGAAAAAAAAACCAATTGATGTAATTAGGATATGTAATTGATTAATTTGTAAATTATATTTTATGATAATACTATTTTTATTTTAAAACAAATAATTACATATGTAATTTTTTGTCATTGAATTGTATGGCTAAATGATATTGGAAAGAAAAAGAAAAAAAAAAAAAACTGCTATATGCTACCAAATTACAATGACAGTCATTGTACTAAAAACAATTACTTAGCAACAAAGATGTGAACTGTACTATTGCATGGCAAATAGGTTAGATTAAATTAGACTTTGATTAAATAGGATAGGCTTACGTAATCTTTGACCTTGTTATCAAAAAAAAAAATCTTTGACCTAACCTATTAACCTGTGTAGGCCTAAATTACAAGTCTGATCTAATCAATATTAAAATAATAAAAAGCCTTGGTTAAGGCCTGATTAGGCCTATTAAATATTTAATAATTAAAAAATAATTAAAATAATATTATTTTATTTTTTAAAATTATTAAAATAATAATTTTATTTACTTTATTTAAAATAAATAATATGATACAGGCCGGCCTATAAATTTATAGGCTTGACATGTACAAAAAATTATATCACCTACTTTTTAAATAGAGTTTTTTTAAAAGAGTAAGCATATTTTATTTAATTATTTGTAATAAATTAAGTTTGACATAATATATGTTAAACCGCATACTCGATCTAGTCATTTACACCCCAAATAGTAACATATGCAACTTCCTTTGTAAAGAAGATACTTTAATACGTACTTTTTTTTTTTTTTTGATAACATTAATATGTACTTTTAACATGCGAGATAAAGTTCATAAAATATCGTAGAACATGATATATTTTTTTTGGGTACAATAACATGATATTTTTTTAGGGTTTGATGTTTGTCATTTTAAATGACATAAGTTATGTTATTTTAGGAGAAAGATAGACACAGAAAAACGGAAATCATGGGAGAGAGAAAGTGGGTGATTTTTTTTAATTTAAAATTCAAATTTTCTATGTCTGTATCTCTCTTAAAATAACATAATTTTCTGATCATTTTAAATGACAAATATTTTTTCCATTTTTTTATAACAATAATGTACTTCTAGAAAACGCACGCTTCTTAAAATATGGTGGGTTTAAATAATTCTATAAAGGTGGATAATTACATCTGATTAATTAAAAATACTTGAAAGGTGATTAAATAGTCGTACTTTTTGAAGGAATATTTTAAGTTTTTTATTTAAACAAAGAACAAAAAACATGATAGTTTTATTAAAGGTTCATCAGGTAACCCTGTTACAAAACCAATTTAGATGCTTAAGCCATTACTGGATGATTAACATTCTTCAAGTCATTGACAAATTGATTGATATTCTTATCAGAAGAACCACCTTCCTCCACAGCTTTTCTTGCAGCCTCTTTCATTTCCATTGCCCTCTTCTTTATCTCCTGAGCACTTGGCCCCTCCATGACTACCTTAATGCACCTCTCCATCTCTTCTGCACTAGGAACCCCATCTTCCCCACAATTCATTATCACCCCAGTTTGAAACTTTTTCACTACAAGCTTTGCAATTGCTGGCTGATCCAACCATTTTGGATAACCAATAACGGGAACACCAGCAGCCAGAGTCTCTAGGATGGAGTTCCAACCACAATGACTCATAAAGCAAGCCACCGCAGGGTGCATAAGCACCTTCTCCTGCTGGCACCATTTTACCACCAAACCCCTCCCTTTTGTTTCTTCCAAAAACCCATGTGGCAATTCAGGAGCATCATTCTCAGAACCTTTCTCAGGTGGCATAATCACCCAGAGAAAAGCTTTGTTGCTATTCTTCAAAGCCATGGCTATATTATCCACCTGCTTTTGTGACAAGACAATAATACTACCAAATGCAACATAGATAACAGAGGAAGCTGGCTTATTGTCAAGCCACTCAAGGCATGAATCATCAACATTCCAAATACTCATACCAACAGCATTGTTTTCCTTTTCTCCCAACATGAATTCTGAAACCAGAGGTCCAATAGGGTAAACTGGGGTTAATGAAGCCATAGATTTCACAGTCTCTTCCTCCAACTCATAAAACGAGGCAGCAAAAACCCATTTCAACTTATCAGAAGCTTGACATAAATCCATCATTATTTGATGACCAAATAAAGGGCTTGAAGGAAGCATATAAGTAGGGATATCTCTAACCTCAAGCATTGGAAGTCCAGGCAATTGAACTTTCTCATTCGGGTCATCTAAATTAGGAAAAGAATCTATATTCCTGTAATAGCGATAAGAAATGGAATACAAAGCACAAGGTTGCATCCAAAGCAATGCACAAGGGATGCCATTGTCAGCAGCTATATTTATAGATGACGGAAGAATGGGATCAACAATCATACAAGAATAGTTCTGACCCTTGGTAAGGTTATTTATGAGACTCGACAGGTTTTTGGAAGCTGTTGTTCGAAGAGAATCGACAAAGCCCTGCATGTCCTTGTTTCGATCAAAGTCAAGGCTAAGCCCATCAGAGAAGAACTCGAATTTTATTTGTTGGTTATGGAAATGTGGGTTTGTGGTGTTGGGGGCATTGTAAATGCGATCTCGGGCCATTTCAGTTGTGACTATAGTGACATTAACACCTTTTGAAATAAGGCGTTTGGCGAATTTCAGCGTGGGGTTAATGTGTCCTTGTAAGGCCGATGACACCATTAGAACATTCACTTGTTCCTCTGTTGCCATTTTTTCTAGGGAAAATAAGCCAAATCAATGTGTACTCAAGGCACAGGTGTTAGCCCCTATATACATATATATCTAGAGAAGATGACATATTATTATTATTTTTATTAGAAGAATATAAAAGATGATATATGAAGAGATAAGCACGCACTAAATTATTTCCATTAAAGCTTTTAGCGTTACACTTATATACGGCCAAAGTCTTTTATTGAGAAAGTTGACCGAAAAAAATAATCTTTAAAATATTTATTTTTGGGAAATAACTTATTTCGTAATATATTAAGCTTAATTACCGCAATAGTCATGTTTCATTGTGCACGAACATGACTTTTATGCCAATGCATTATATATATAAATATATATATATATATCGAAACCAAAATATGGTATTCATATATGCAAGAGGAAAAAAAGAAGGAAAAAGTAAAATAGTTAAAGAAGAATATATATTTATATGGATAGAAATCCTCTCTAATCTATTATAGAATTATTGTATTAAATTAGTGCCAATTAAATTTAAGCAGCAGGTTGCATTTTGCCACATATAATTATGCAAATATTAATACAGTAATTATTACAACTGTTAAATGTTTACTATTTATTATTATGTTCAAAAAATCCACATCCAACCCAAGTATGGTGGCTCATTTGGTAGCACGGGGACTAAGTGGTAGGAGAGGACCTCAGTTTGAATCCCACCAACTTCATCTGAGGAGGGGCATAAGTACCGTAATCATTGGACTCGCATCTGAACTTTGAATTAGACCATCTGGGGAGAGGCATAAGTACCGTAATCTTTAGACTCGCATTCGAACTCTGGATTAGTCTCATAGGCGTCTAAAGAGTCGAACTCGTGAAGATATCGGAGAGTTCTGATTCACCTCAAAGATCTAATTAGAATCAGATTTAAAAAAAAAATCCACATCCATGGTACTCTATCATTCTTGGGATGAAAAATCCCACTGATATTTCAAACTGATACAAGAGTATTTGATTTTTCATTCAAAAAGGTTTAATTGAATATTATCTTTTGGGTTTTTTGTTTTGGTAAACTTATTATTTGGCTTTAACTATCATATTCAAACACTCTAGGAGTCTAACCAACGTAGATTATTATATTTTTCAAATTGAATTCATTGACTTCAATAATTTTGTCTTGTATTTTTTAATATTTTTCAAATTTGACATTAAATTCAGTAATAAGATGTTTGACTTTCGATTCACGGTTAATAAATGTGCGACGTATATTGTGGGAGGTTGATGTCATTTATTGAAAAATGAATTTGAGAATAAAAGTAAATCGCATACATTATTAAAAATAAAAAAAAACAAGAGTACATCTTAATTTCCATTCTTCACTTGAAATAAAATTAAATACAGTTTCACTTTCATTTCCCCGGCAGCCGAAGTTCAAGAGTTTATTGTCTAGGATAAACGTAGAGGCTTGGTGGACTAGAGTCTTTCAAGTAGGGTGGTAATTTGGGTTGACCCGTCCCGACCCGCTCCGTAAAAAATATGACAGGTAGACCCACTAAAAAATATGGGTTGAAAAAATGAATTCACCCCGTTTTACGGTGAGATAGCGGGTTGGCGGATCAACCTACCAACCCGTCAACTAAAAAAAATTAATTAAAATTCAAAAATAAATTATATTTTATGAATTTTTCTAATATTATTTTATTTCATTTCACACTTCTCTATATTTTTTTAGTCTCAATCTTAAATGCATACTAATATTTGTCAAACATTTTTTAGGAATTTATATATAGATTACATTTGTCATAAATAAAATGGTTATTCTTTATTTTTTCTAGGAAGTACTAAGATAAAAATCAAATTTGGATATTACAAAAATTTAAGGACTAATGAAATAATACCTAATTGTAAAAAAAAAAAAAAATTATAACCAGGCGAGTCAACCTATCCGGTGACGGGTTAAACCCATTTTGACCCACTTCTAGGCGGGGCAGATTGAGGTGGGTTGGTGGGTTAAAAACCTCAACCCAACCGCCCCATTTTGGCGGGTTGACCCGCCGGGCTCAACCCATATTGTCACCTCTACTTTCAAGAGTTACCACTTCTTCTTTTTCTTAACGGAAAAATAAAAAATTCTATTTATTCTAAAATTTACATTAAATACGAGGAATCATAACTATATAAAGATGAAAATAAATATAACCGTTGGATCAACATGATCGATCTAACGAATAAATTGATTGCTAGTAACATTGGTGGTAACGCTAATTGGTTGTTACAATATCCTACCTCATATAAATAAATATATATATATATATATATAGAGAGAGAGAGAGGTAAGTTCCTTTGACACTAGTGTCAAATTTAAAATTTGACAACTTATTTGAGAGCCGTTAGAAAAAAAAAGATCAATGGTGTCACATGCTTACAAACCAGATTCGTTGATCTTTTTTTATCTAATGATTTTCAGATGAAGTGTCAAATTTCAAAGTTAACATTGGTGTCAAAGGATCCTATATATATATATATATATATATATATATATATGAGATTAGATCAACTTACGTCAGTGTAAGAATAATCAATTTTATAAAAAATATTAACCGTTGATTTTCATGCATCTAATGGTTGAGATTTATTGAAAATTAATAATTCATTAATGAGTAGGATCCAATAAATCTTAACCTTTGATATATAAAAATCAACGATTAAGATTTAGTGTAAGATTTATTCATCTTACACCGGTGTAAGATGATCCTGCCACATATAGGATCAAGATCATTATACACCGATATAAACTACACTCTCAATCTTGAGTGTTGATCTTATTTATATCTAACAACTCTAATTTTTATATTGAAAAGAAGTTTTTGTATATTGATATTGAATAAATTACATGAGTGAGTATTTATACAAGAAAGAATCGCTAAGAATGACTAAGCGATGATTAATCAATCCTATCACAATCCTAATCACAATCAATTCTAATCAATCACAATTAATCCTAATCAATCATAATCAATCCTAATCAATCATAATCAATCCTAATTAATAGGAAATAAAAACGGAAACATGTTTGAATTCTAATTTTCTACACTCCCCCTCAAGTTGGGAGGTAAATATTGATCATTCCCAACTTGCCAATCAAGTCTTCGAATGCTGGACGGTGTAGGCCCTTGGTAAAGACATCTGCCGTTTGCTCTTTGGTTGGAACATATATCAAATGCACACTTCCATCATCTAATTTTTCTTTGATGAAGTGACGATCAACTTCCACGTGCTTTGTTCGATCATGATGCACAGGATTTTGAGCAATGCTAACAGCTGCCTTGTTGTCACAATATAGTTTTATTGGTAGGGAATATGAAATCTTCAACTCTTGAAGAAGTCTTCTCAACCAGATTCCTTCACAAACTCCATGAGCTAAAGCTCGAAATTCTGCTTCAGCACTACTTCTTGCAACCACTGTTTGCTTTTTGCTTCTCCAAGTAACAAGATTTCCCCACACATAGGTGCAATAGCCTGAGGTAGATCTTCTGTCTACTGATGAGCCTGCCCAATCTGCATCAGTGTAGATTTCAATTGTCCTTTTATACCCCTTTTTAAAGAATAATCCTCTTCCTGGAGTATTCTTGAGGTATCTAAGCACCCTATAGACTGCACTAAGATGCTTCTCCTTGGGTGAGTGCATGAATTGACTAATCATACTCACCGCAAAGGCAATGTCAGGACGCGTATGAGATAAGTAGATTAGTTTACCAACCAATCGCTGATATTGTTCTTTATCCACCTCATTCCCATCTTCAATACCTAACTTGGTATTAGGTTCCACAGGTGTCTCAGCAGGTTTACACCCTAACATTCCTGTTTCCAACAAAAGATCTAGAACATATTTCTTTTGTGTTAGAGTGATGCCTGTTTTGCTCCTAGCAACTTCCATACCAAGGAAATATTTGAGAGTGCCAAGGTCTTTGAGTTCAAATTGAGCTGCTAGAAATTTCTTCAAGGTGTTCAATTCCTCAATATCATCACCTGTAAGAATTATATCATCTACATATACAATAAGGATAGCAATTTTACCATCCTTAGAGTGTTTGTGGAAGAGAGTATGATCAGTCTGTGCTTGAATGAAGCCTCTTCTTTTGACTGCTTGTGTGAATTTGTCGAACCATTCTCTGGGAGACTGTTTCAATCCATATAGAGACTTTTTTAGTTTACACACTGATTCATTTCCCCTTTCAAAACCAGGTGGAGGATCCATATAGACTTCTTCATGTAAGTCACCATTTAGGAATGCATTCTTCACATCTAACTGTTGCAGAGGCCAATCTAGATTGGCAGCAAGAGATAAGAGAACTCGGATGGTATTGACTTTAGCAACCGGAGCAAAAGTCTCATGATAATCTATCCCATGAGTCTGAGTGAAACCCTTTGCAACCAATCTTGCCTTGTATCTGTTGATGCTATTATCTGCATTGAATTTTATTGTAAACACCCATTTGCATCCTACTGCCTTTTTTCCTTTGGGTAGGGTCACTATCTCCCAAGTTCCATTTCTTTCTAAAGCATTCATTTCTTCAAAGACAGCATCCCTCCATTTTTTATCATTGAGAGCCTCATGTATATTTCTCGGTATCTTTGTACTATCCAACATAGTATTGAAAGCACGAAACCCTGGGGACAACTTTCCATATGAAATATGATTAGAAATAGGATGAGTAGTACAAGATCGAGTACCTTTTCTGAGAGCAATGGGCAAGTGTAGATCATTTTCACCATGACACTCAAGTATTGGGGTGCTGGAACTAGAACATGGTTCAGAATCCTGGCAGTGTAGAGGCTCTGGGTTATTCACACTTTGAGGAGGCTTTCGCCAGCTATAAACTTGTCCCCATTTTGAGGAGGCTCCTGATGGTGAGGATTCTGTAGCTCCCCTGTTTCCAAAAGTAGAGGTAATACTGTGGCATTAATAGGTTCCCATGACTGATCTTCATCTACTCATATAGACTCCCCCTGAAGAGAAGTCG